TTGCTACCACTTTTGCACACCCAAATCCTTGCTGGCAGAATGACTGACAAGCAGCATTTGAAAAGCTGCCGTTGGTGAGGGGAGCGCATGCCCAGGCCCCAGCAGTTTGGGAAATGGCCCTTCGAGGTGCTTCTTCGTGGGTCTGGCAGAGGCCTGAGCTGTTTTCTCCAGGCACTGTCGACCTCATATGGGGTCCAGGTTGGAATGGCGTCATTCTCCACTGTGCTGGCAGCAAGCAGACAGTGATTTAGTGTTTAATGTGGTAAAAGGCACCATTATTTCAGGCTGCTGTTAATAGCACCTCTTGACTCACCACGAAAACTCCTCCCATACTTTTTATTAACGTGACATTTTGACAGTGTTCCATGATCATTGTCCCTTCCATCCCTGACCTACCCTTCTTTCCCAAGACACCTCCAGACAGGGTTGCTCGGGTCTGCTGTCCCCATGCTGGGTGGCCCCAAGCCACCACCTCCAGTGCCTCTGCCCACAACAGCATGTCTGGAAAGCTGGCCCCCTTCTGTCATGTTCATGCCAGCTAAGCTGTTGAGCAATGCTCAGGACTCCTGAAGGGTCCCTGCAGGTTGGGGTGTCAGCTCCACCAGTGCCGACTCTTCCTTCTTCAGGAACAGAACTCCCCAGGCAGCCTGAGCGCATGGCCATCCGAGTTCCTCTGCAGTACAGCTGATGACCAGCGGCTCCACATCCCAGCAGGTCAGCAGAGGTGGCATTGCTTCAGGCTGCGGACCCATCAAGGGTTACTCCTCCTGTCTCCTCCTCTGGACCACTGGCTGCCTGAGGCATGCTCTTCTCCATATTGGGGTCTTGTACTTCTGTCCTGTTGTGGTCAGAATGTCTGTGTTCCCCCAAGTCACAGGATGGAACCCTAATGCCCAGTGTGAGAGAGTTAGGTGAGGCCTTTGGGAAGTGATTAGATTACGAGGGTGGAATCCTCATGAATGGCATTAGCACTCTTATAAGAAACCCCACAGAACTCAGCCTTTTCCACCATGTAAATATAGTCAGAAATCTGAGGACAGGAAGAGCCCTCATCTAACCACTCTAATCTTGGGCTTCCTGGACCCCAAACCTGTGAGAAACACATTTCTATTGTTTATAAGCTACCTATTCTGTGGCATTTTGTTATAGCAGTCTAACAGACAAAGACACGGACTAACAATCTTTGTAATTTAATGAAATCAAATAGAATGTACATACTGGTATTTTTGGCTTAAGATCTGTCATCTTTTTAAGGTTTAATCCTCAGCTGGGGATTTTTTATATTTTAAGGGAAAGAAACATTGATGTGAAGAGTGAAATATCAATTGGCTGCCTCCTGCATATGCCCTGACTGGGAATCAAACCCACAACCATCTCATATATGGGAAGACACTCCATTCAACTGAGCCACCTGGCAAGCACTTTGGGTTTCCCCCACCTCCCGTCTTATTCATTTTTTAAGCTGCCTTTTTATTGATTTCTAAATATTCATTTTTAGCCCTGGCCAGGTAGCTCAGTTGGTTGGAGCATCCTCCTGATATATCAAGTTTCGATCCCTAGTCAGGGCACATACAAAAATCAACCAATGAATGTATAAAGTAAGTGAAACCATAAATGGATGTTTCTCTCCCTCCCAAAATCAATTAAAATTTTTAAAATTCATTTTTAATCTACTAGTCTTGAAATGACACACTCTATTTTATGATTCTCTACATTTTACAATATGCATGTGATTAACAAAAACCTTTACCCTCATATGATACTTCAATCCTTTTTACTCTTGTTATTGTTGTCTGGCATTTTGAGTCTGTGTTACTTTAACAACTCCAGACTTTTGTTTTATATAACACTCATTCACATTTGCCTACGTATTTCCTATCCTCTTTGCTCATTTCCTTTTGTATCTCAAAACCCCATTTGGAACCTGTCTTTTGTATCGGTATGCATTTTTAAGAATTTCCTTTAGTGAGGGGTAGCAGTAGATAAGCCAATTTTTGTTGTAAAATGTGCTTTTACCCCCTCACTCTTAAGAGATTCTCACAGGATATAAAATTCTAGGTCGAGAGTTACCTTCTATCTTTAGGCTAATGTTTTCACTCTACTCTTCTGACTCCCATTGTTGCTGCTGAGAAGTCTGCTGTTCCTTTGAAGGGATCTTTTGTCTGTTTAAGCTATTTTTTTCTCTTTGATTTTCTGTAGTTACACTAGGATGTATGTGGGTGTGATTTCTATAAATGCATCATGCTCTGTATTCTTTAGGCTTTTAAATCTGTAGGCCTATATTTTTCATTAGCTCTGGAAATTCTCAGTCCCATTCTTTTTCTTTTATTCTGTCCTTGACTTCTGAGACTATGATTAACTGTAGATGTTAAATTTCCCAATAAAATCTTCCATTCTCTGAATTTTCCTGTCTCCATTCTGCATTTCTTCACCCATCTTTCATATTTTTTCACCAATTTCTTCCAATCTGTTGCCCAATACATCACTATTTTAAGGACAGCCCCCTCCGTTCAATGTAACCAATAATTCAATATGTCAAGTCCATGTGGATCTTTTCTGCTAGCTTTCAGTCATGTTACCTTTTCTCCTGATGCCTGGTTTTTTATTAATTGCCCCTGAAAAATTATCTATAAGGGTTGATGTTGAGATTGAAGGAGTCTTCTTCCAAAGTTTTGTGTTGCTTCTACCAGGTGTGTTTACCCGGGTTGTAAGGGCTGACTGGTGAGCAGAGGGTGTCAGGGATGTTTTTTTTTCCCATTTTCTTCTCTTTCTCTGTTCAGTCACAGGACCACTGGGGCTGGGCTTAGACCTGGTTTATCTTACCTGAGAATAAAGCACCTTGGGGACCCAGACTAGCTTTGGAAAGGTCTCCTAGAAGAGTTACCACCTCGGGTAGACCTGGCCCTGACCTCCTGTCTCTCCCTGTGGCTGAAGTGGTGCCCAACTGTGTAGCGTCAGCAAACAGCCTAAGGCATAAGGTGCTCTGGTACTCTGATGCCAGGATCCCAGTTTTAAACTGCCCTGCTTGTTCAAATTGCATTGTCTCCCCACTCTCAATGCTCTCACTGGAGCAGATACACTGCCTATTTTAAAATCTTTTTTTGTTTTGGTGGGAAATCGACCCAAATAACTTAGCCTATCTTTACCAGAAAGTATTGTCCCAGTTTTCCAGCCTTTTCAATGTTGTTCTTTTCCAGCCTTTGAGGATTTCCGGCCCAGATTTTGACTTACATCCTTTATTTCTACCCTGGTGCTTGTCCATGACAATCTGTCATGCACAGTCAACATTATAAAACCCAGACTCAAGCAACATCTTAACCTTCCTCCAAAACAAGCGCTTTACGCTCTCATACAGATCTTCCATCTTCCTACTTACCTACTGTTCTCCATTTCAGTTATATTTTTAGTCTTGAATTAGACACTGCTGTTTTTAAAGAAGTGTTTTGATTTACCTACATGTTGGCAATTTTCCTTCCTACATATTAGAAATTATCTCTGAAAAGAGGTGAGGGATGGTAGTCCCTAACAAGCCAAAGCCCCAAGCTGGGCCTGGCAGATGCAGCCATACCACCTCACTGGCTTTGTGCTGCAGTCTGCCCAGAATGGCTGGAGACCCAAGGACCTCTTCGCGTCTGGGATTACCCAATGCTGCATGCTGCATGTGTCTGGCCTTAGGTAGCCTCAAGGCCAAGGCCCAGAGGCCTGGGTCCTGTTTCTTGTGGACTGGAGTCAATGGAGGTCTCAGCAGTGGTGTCCCAGTACTCAGTGGGCTTGGGCACTTAGAATACCCATCTGAGTGGTGCCGCTCCTGAAAGCAGGCAGTGCATTAGCGTGCACATGTGAGGCCTGCGGGGCCCCTGAGCCACTGATAGCTCTGGCCACACAGGTAATCCAATCATTTAAGACACACCTGGTTTTACCTTCAGTAAATGAAGATGAATCAATGTGCCTCCTAGATGACTCCTAGAGAATGATACTCCATGGTCTCCCTCCTTTCTGCCCACTGTGTACCAACCCTGCCAGACCGGCTACTCTCAAGGATGTGTGAGCTTTTCCTATTCGGTCTTTCACTGGGCCAACCCATTGTCCCCTACGTTTCCCTATTTAAAAACCCAGCCATCCTGCCCAGATGTCACTTGTCTCTGAAGGCTGCATTTTACTTCAGCATCCACCAGGGTGGCTTTGCTTGTGGGTTTTCTCCCTCCCAGGTCCTTTATTTACTCCCATTGCCTCCTGCTTAGGAGACAGTGGACTGCGTCTAGCACGTCCTCAGCAGGTATTTCCTGAATAAATGCACTCAAGTCTGTGGAGAGGATCGTCTGTCAGGGCTGCATGCAAACAGGACACAGAGCGAGTGTGGTCACAGCGTTTCAATGTGGAGTTGCATGGCAGAAATGCTTTACTTTTCCCTTTCCTCGTCCCACCCTGACTCCCTCCATCAAAATCTATCGGTGGGGGTTTGGAGACAAAGTGAATTATACTCCTAGAGAGAGGCATGTAAGCTTTGTGGCTAGATATGTGAAGTCCTAGAGAGCAAGGCAACCATTTAGCTAGAGATTGTTCTCTTATAAAAGTGGGTATCGGAGCCAGAGAAACCTGATGAAGAATTCAGCCTCTACAGATAGGCCCCACCCAGTGTATGGTTCGATAGGTTACTTAACTCTCAGAAGACTCTTTTTACCCTTTATACAAAGTCAACGTTTTGTTCAATTCTGTTCAACACAACTATTTCTGGGTGATGAGTGCCACTCACAGAGCCTGCCCATTCCCAAGAGTTGGGACCCAGCCCCAGCATGTGAGGCTCCAACCAGGCTGCACTTCTCCTGGTAGGGGTGCCGCCTACCTGCTAGTGAAACCTGAGATGCCAGCACTGGGGGATGAGCCCGTTGCTCGCCCACCTGGGCTTGTATCTGCTACAGTCTACCTCATTAAGATGTGACACAGATGGCTTTCCCCACACACTGCTCCTTCTGAAGTCAGGCACAGCCCGTTTACTTTTGAAGAATTCTTTATTGGAGATCCACTTTACCTTGCCACAACTACCTGCCTCTTCATGGCCAAGAGAGGGAGCCCTGAACAATATATTCATAACATTTTACAACAGATAATACACACAGGTAGTGCATGAAATCTTTACAATAACACAGTCCAAAACAATCTATCATTTAACAGGATTGAGAAGCAGGAATCTCTTCCTATCCCCCAATTATTGGTAGTTACTTAGCTTTTTACCTCCTGCAATAAAATGCCCTCCTTTTCAGTATTCCTATTCCTAGGAATCCCTGAATCAATTCTTGTGCAAATTCATATTAAAGACATGTTCCCTTAGTTACTGAGTGTGCTCTATTTTTCTCGATGATAGAACCTTTCATTTGCAGTATAACATGGGGTTTTCACTCAGCACACATTTATCATTCAATGACGGGGTGCATCTGGAGATTTTAGGTTCCCCTACTCAACTAGTGTACCACACTACAACAGTATAGTCCAATCAACCTGCATTTCTTCAGACTGACTCTCATATCTCCTATTAGATTAAGTCTACACTTTTTAAATTTCCCTACAAAATTCAAATTTTGTTTCAAAACTTGTCATCACCTCGCCCCAAACCACTGAATTATATAATAAAGCTTTTACTTCATGAGTGCTACTAATAAATAAGTTTATATTCCCTGAAGCCTATCTCTCCCTGAATGTGCCTACTGGAGGCCCTTCTTGGGTTATTTCCGCTGACCAATGTATAATTGGGACTCAAAAGATACACCTGAATGTCCCACATTTAGATTCACAAAATTTACCCAAATATGAACTTTCTAATGGTGACTGTGTGACTTCTGATCGAAATCCTTTCCTCACCCATGTGTTTCATGTCCAGAAATGTCTGCTTATTTTGAAGGTTTTAACATCGTATCATTCTGATAGGTTTTATCACCAGTATAAACTGTTTTGTATTCCATAAGGGCTCAACTATTTTGACAATGGAGGCTTCCCTGAAGCACAGGTTACTCATGGTTTCATTTGTACTATGTAAATTATAAGCCATGAACAAGGACCTCAGATATTCTTACATTCATAAGGTTTTTCTTCCACTTGAGTTCTGAGACTTGGTAAGCTCTGCCTCCTACAGAGACAAGCTCATCCTGGCCCCATCCAGAACATCCCCACCCTCATAAGTTCTCTTCTGTGTTGTACCACTGTAACTCCCCACATTCGGCACATTTAAAGATTCCTCTCCTGTATGGATTCTTTTATGCTTGGTGAGATCTGACCTGGTATTAAAAGTCTTCCCACACTCATTACACCGGTATGGCTTCTTTCCAGTGTGGATCCTTTTGTGCTGGTCAAGGACTGATCTATAATTGAAGGACTTCCCACACTCACAATTATAGGGCTGCTGACCACGGTGGATGCTTTTGTGGTTGATAAGACTCGAGTGTGAGATGTATGCCTTCCCACACTCATCACATCCATAGGGTTTCTCGCCTGTGTGGATTCTCTTATGCACTGTGAGGCCTGAGCTGTTCCGGAATGCCTTACCACACCTATCACATATGTAGGGTTTCTCTCCTGTGTGGATCCTCTTGTGTTGAGAAAGGAGCGAGCTGTAACTGAAAGATTTCCCACACTCAACACATTTAAAAGGTTTCTCCCCAAGATGGACTCTTTTATGGCTCACAAGAGTTCTGCTTGAGAAAAAAGCTTTTCCACATTCATCACACGTATAGGGTGTCTTGCCAGGGTGGGTACTTTTATGGTTAATAAGGCTTGAGTGTGAGATGTAGGCTTTTCCGCACACATCACATTCATAGGGTTTCTCCCCTGTATGAATTCTTTTATGCACTTTAAGGCTGGAGTTGTTTCTGAAAACCTTCTCACACCTATCACACTCGTAGGGCTTCTCTCGAGTGTGAACCCTTTTGTGCTGAGAAAGGAGTGACGTGTAGTTAAAAGATTTCTCACACACATCGCATTTGTAGGGCTTCTCCCCAAGATGAATTTTTTTGTGGTTTATAAGGGTTCGGTATGTGATAAAGGCTTTTTCACACTCCTCGCACTTATAGGGCTTTTCCCCAGGGTGCACACTCTTATGGTTTATAAGGCTTGAGAGTGAGATATAGGCTTTCCCACATTCTTCACATTTGTAAGGTCTCTCCCCAGTGTGGATTCGCTTATGTACTTTAAGGCCTGAATTATTTCTGAAGGCTTTTCCACACTCATCACACCCAAAAGGTTTCTCCCTCGTATGAATCCTCTTATGTTGTTCGAGGGCAGAACTATAATTGAAGGATTTCTCACAATAGCTACATTTATAGGGCTTCTCCCCAAGATGGATTCCTTTGTGGTTTTTAAGGCTAGAACGTGAGATGTAGGCTTTCCCGCACACGTCACATTTGTATGGTTTTTCCCCAGTGTGGAGCCTCCTGTGGACTTTGAGACCTGAATTGTTTCTGAAGGTTTTCCCACACACATCACATACATAAGGTCTTTCTCCAGTGTGAATGGTCTTATGCTGAAGAAGAAGTGAGTTATAGCTGAAGGATTTTCCACATTCCTTACACTCATGAGCTTTCTTCCCAGGGTGAATGCTTTTATGAACTGCAAGGCCTGAGCTATAGCTGAATGCTTTGCCACAGACATCACATTTGTAAGGTTTCTCTCCTGTGTGAATCCTTTTATGCACGATAAGGCCTGAACTATTCCTGAAGGCCTTCCCACATTCATCACATTCATAAGGTTTCTCTCCAGTGTGGATGACTTTATGCTGAATGAGGAGAGAGCTATAATTAAACGATTTCTCACACTCATCACATTTGTAAGGTTTATCTCCAAAGTGGATGCTTTTATGGTTTAGAAGTGTTCTGCAAGTAATGAAGGCCTTCCCACATTCATCACATTCATAGGGCTTTTCACCTGTGTGGATCCTTTTGTGAACCCTGAGGCCAGAGCTATTACTGAAGGTTTTCCCACAGATGTCACATTCATAGGGCTTCTCCCCTGTGTGGATCCTTTTGTGGACTCTGAGGCCAGAGCTGTTCCTGAAGGCCTTCCCACACTCACCACATTCATAGGGCTTCTCCCCAGTGTGGATCCTCTTATGCTGGTCTAAAACAGAGCTGTAATTGAAAGATTTCCCACACTCATCACATTTGCAGTTCTTCTCCCCAGAATGGGTGCTTTTATGGTTTATAAGGCTGGAGTAGGACATGTAGGCTTTCCCACACTCCTCACACTTGTACGGCTTCTCCCCAGTGTGGATTCGCTTATGAACTCGAAGGCTGGAGCTGCTCCGAAAAGCCCCTCCACAGTCACTGCACTCATAGCGTTTTTCCCCACTGTGCATAATTTTGTGTTGAACAAGGCGGGAGTTATATTTGAAGGATTTCCCACACTCATCACATTTATGAGATTTCTTAACAGCACTGGTGTCCTGGTTCAGATGGGGATGAGAGCTTCCATTCACATTCTCTGCACATGTGCCTTGCTCATTGCTTTTCTGTTTGATAGGGATGGTCTGGTGTGTAACGTGCTTTGAGCTCAGATGTAAGCTTTTCTCAGACACCACGTCTTCTTCCTGTTCTGTCTTTATATTTGCTGTGTTTGGGGGTTTTCCAATCCTTTCCCTGATGCCACTTTTGTCTTCCTTCATTCTTTTCCCATCAGGCTTTTCTGACTGGTTCTCTACTTTGCCATCCCAACCACAGGTTCCATCGACCTTAGACTCCTGAACATGATCCTTGTGAAGGCCTTCCACTTTTAGCCACAGAAGTTCTGCATTCCCAACATTTTCACAGTTTTCAGTTGATTCCTCATCCTCAGTGCCCCTCGTCTTGTAATGTGACACTAAACCAAGAAAATAAAAAGATATTTGTTCACTTTGTTTAGAAGAAACTATAAGAATTACATCCAAATTCACTCATTCACTCAAGTGTTTACTGACTGCATGCTGTATGATAGGTACCATTTCTAAATGCTGAGATACAATGGTGGACATGCCAAAACTTATGTTGCCCTGGGGCTAATGTTAAAATGTGACAGCCGTGAATTTTCAACAAAACAGAGCACTTTTCTATTCATGCATAACAGCTTAGCACGAGGGTAAGTTGAAATATTGCACAGAAACAAGGGCAACACTGATCAGTTTTTAAAAAATGCCACCAAGTAATGGAAAAACAGAGGGTAGAAGAAATCTCTGAAACAGAGGAGACAGACTGGTAAGACAAAAGTTAAGAAGACATAATCAGCAGAAGAGAGGCAAAACTGAAGATGAGAAATCAGTACCTGGGAGGAAGTGTTGGGGAGAAGGTTTAAAATCAGGAGAATAGTCATGTCAGGAATTATAAAGAAAACAAGCCGTTGGTTTGGCCTCTTGGATCTTCCCTCCGAGAAAAACTGTGACCCTGGAAAGTGGCTAGCTGGGGAGTCAGGGGGGATCTCTAATACAAGAGAGGATACCTCAGCCTGCCAGACAAAAGGCTTTCAATCTTACTTCAGGAACAGGCTAACTGCAGTCAGAGAATATCAAATATCAAAAGCAAAAACGCAAACCATTAGGCAAAAGAAATAATTCTGCCTAAGTTGAAATCCCTTTGAAATCCCTAGCTGTGTGGCCTTGAGAAAGTTATTTAACCTTCTGGAGCCACAGTTTCCTCATCTGTACAATGAGTCAACAGGACTGGTGTATTATATGAGAAAACATGTGTAAAGTGTTGAGGACAACGTCACTATAGCAGAAAGCACTTGGTGAGTGCTATATGCTATTATGATTCTGTTATTTATTCAAGGTCAGGTTATTGGATCATGGTTTAAACTGAGGATAACGTGCAGGACTCGGGAAAAGTGAACTCCTTTCCAAAGGAGTTTAGGAGCCAGGCAGGGTCACTCTGTCCCTGTGAAGGTTCTCTACATGGCTGGCACTCCATCAGTATCCAACTATGGACAAACTGACTCCTAAGAACACAAGGAAGAATTCTAAGTCCCTTATTCCCAACCTTAGACAATTAGACATTTGTGATTAGACTTAGTTAAAACATGGACCTCTCCTCTTAACCTGGGTACCAGACTCTCTTGGGTCAGTACTCTGGAATTCTGTCAGTCCTACTTAGAAGCTCTGTATGTAAATGTGAGGTGGAAGCAGAGGCGAGGCAAAAAGAGAAAAGAAAGATATATATTCTGGCTTGGACATGTATAAAGGACAACATAGTCCAACTTATGCTTATGGAACTGTAATGACAGACTCGATTAAAATGTACAGAAAAGGAGAGGTTAAGAACTCAGAATGCCACTAGGATAGTAAAACAAAGCACCATGCAACAGACACTAAACCAAAAGGTAGTTCTGCTGAGAAAGCTTCACAAAATGACAAGTGATATAGGTAAGAGATCTTTAGAGGTCACTGACAAATGGTGGCTCTTCTTGGTTCCTTGTTCCATTTACTACTTGGCAGTGACTTTGGACAGAACACAGCCCATGTCACTGGGTGAACAGTGACATTCCAGAACTACCAGCGGCAATACACGTTTTATCTGTGCTCTGAATCCTGCCTCCACATACGGCAGGGACTCTGAGCCATCCAGTCCCTTTGGCCTTTATGTTCCTGCAGATGGAAAACCAAATCCCCTAGAATAAATACACAAAAACTGCTAGAGAGAAAAACGGAAAAGGGAAAGCCATGAGGAGAGGCTAGCCATGCTAGATATTAAAGTATAATACAGCCCTGGCCCAGTGGCTTAGTTGTTTGGAGCATCATTCTGTACATCAAAAGGTTGCGGGTTCAATCCCCAGTCAGGGCAGGTTCAAACCCCTGTTGGGGCACATACAGAGGCAACCAATCGATGTTTCTCACGTGAATTTTTTTTTTCATTCTCTCTCTTTGAAATCAATAAACATATCTTCTTGGGTGAGGGTTTTCTTTAAAAATTTTAAAAAAGGTTTAAAGTATGCCACAAAGATTCTACAACCAAAACAACGTGGCACTTGTTCAGCTCACAGACAAACAGAACAGGATACAAAGTACAGAAATAGTCGTAATTACTATAGAAATCAAATATATAATAAAGATAATATATCAAATTATTGGGGCAAATATGATCTTTTTATTAGTGTTAGAGCAACTATAAAGCCATTTGGGAAAAGATAAAATTAGATCCATTCCTTACACCACCCTCAGGAATAAACTCCATGTGGAGCAGAGCTCTAAATACAAAAAAGCTACACCACACACACATGAGAACAGAACAGGGGTGAACGCCTCTGTAACTCGAGTACAGAGAAAGCTTTCTAACTATGACCCAGATAAAATAAAAGATTGGTACTTTTGACTACATAAATTGCCATGTCAAAAATACCATAAGCAAAATCAGGAAATGAATGACAAAGTGGAAGAAAACATTTACACTGTATATAAAGCCTAACATCCTTAAGGTACAAAGAATCTTCAGAAACTGAAGAAAAAATAGACTAAAAATTCTACAGAGAAATGGGCAAAAGATACAGACAATTTATAAAAGGAAATATTAAAATGTTCCTTAAACATGTCTTCAATTTCACTCATAAGAAGAGAAATACTAGTAAGATCTAGCCTGAAGCACCAAGTCTTGCCTGTCAGACTGGCAAATATTCAAGCTCCTGACAGTCTACCCGGCCAGTGAGGCTGTGGGGGAAATGGGCACTCGCATGTTGCCAGGAATACAGCCTGGCATAACCTCTGTGAGGGGATTTGCCAACACCAAACACAAGTATGTGCTCATGCACACTTCAACCCAGAAATTCCATTTTGGAATTTATACTGAAGATACAGTTCCAAAATACAACAGTATATATGCACAGAGTTATTACTACCTACAAGTCTACGCACAGAAGAATGGGCAAGTAAGCTATGGCACGTATGCACAGTGGAGTACTACAAAAGACTGCAGAATATCTTTATAAATTGATTAACAGCGAGCAATTTCAAGGACATGCTGTGAAGTGAAAAAGCATATATGCTACATTTTGTGTGGAAAAAAAAAAAGAAAACAAGCACATAGCTGCTTATTTGACAGTAATGAGAGAAACTAGGAAACACTGAAGGACATCACCTATAAGGGGCGGGGGAATGGGCAGCTGTGTACAGCTTCTGTACAGTTTTTAGTTGTAGAAGTGTGATAATGTTCTCCAGACTCGAAGAATAAGGGTACATCAGTGAGAATGGGAGGGGGGAAGCCACTAGCTCAGAAAGCAAATGAAAAGAACTCGTCTGTGCTTCTCGTGAATACCACAGCCACAGGAAAGAACAAAAGAGACCACGAATAAACCCACATAACTCACACACATAACATGACGAGATGCTGTACACTCTCAGTTTAAGAGAAGGCTGGAGGGGCGGTGAGGAAGAGCTGCAAACAGAAGAACTCTTTTTAGCAGCTTTGTTTTCTGTGATGGTACGGGCCAAATAATTTTGGAACAATTTTAGATGTTTTATGGGACTGAGCAAATGTGTTTAGTTTTGAGCCAGGACTCTCCTGGAGGAAAAAGACACATAAAAATATGGAATATGGGAAGGCAAGAAAGAACCCTGTGGGGTGAAATGGAGGTACTGGTGTCAATGCAGGATTTCTAATTTATAGGTGTGCGTACACATATATAAATGTATGTATATTTCATACATACATTTCATATATATATGTACATTCACATATATGTACATTTGTGTGCATACAGATATCCCCTAGCTCTGTCTGCCAAAAAGCAAACACGCCTCAGTGGTAACGAGCCCATCCAGCACCAAAGGAACCGGATGGATTCCAGGCTGGGGACAGAACAGAACACATACAAAATGAGCTGGGGCATCCTGTTATACCAGCAAGTAAGGAGGTGCTCAAAACAATGGGGGCATGTCACAAGACCACAAGATCCAGCTTGAATATCCAATTCAGGGTCCATAATAATTAGGTACAGATTACAAGTGCCCCTGCCCACATCTCACTGAGTGTTCAGATTTTAACCAAAAACAGCATGACCCCTGTGCCCCACCCTCCCTATTCATCTGTTCCTTTTCACCCTGAGTGACCTTTTTTTGTTTCCCTGAATGAAAAAAGCCCTCAAAGGGAAATGTTTTGACGATGTGGAAGAGGTGAAACAAAAAAATGGCAGAAGCACTAAAAGGCTTCAAAATTGATGAGTTCAAAAACTGTTTTGAGCAGTGGAAAAAAAGTCTCGATAGGTGTAGAGCATACAATGGAGAGTACTGTGAAGGTGACTTATGTTTAAACATGTGAGAATAAATATGCATTTTTTATAAATAAATTGTGGGTTTTTTTGGGTCCCCCTTTCCATTACTCATTGCTCTCATCCCACAACTCCACCTACTAACCACTAGGTCACCTGAACACTGAAAGTCCAGTTGACCCCCGAATCAGAAAATGAATGATGTAACTTTGTGAACTCGTTCCCTAGCAACCCATCTCTTTGATCATCATCCCCTGGCAACACATATCTTCAAAAACCCTGCTCCGTTCTCCCTACCTAGGGTGTGTCTCTGATTGATACTGAGGGCTGTGTTCCCCCATTTGCAGATCCTATCAGAATAAACTCCCTTTCAATTTCTCAGGTAAAAACAACTAAATACAGTAATGAATTATAAACCATTGAAAATAGGATTTCATAAGTCCATGCAGATACAAACAGGGGAGAAAGGGAAGCCTCTTCCTTTCAACAGAATGCCAGGGCCAGACAGTAAGTGTGGAAAGAATAGTAGAGTTGGAAAACACAAAATCTGCATTCTGCAACTTTTGGAGCAAATAAATCAAAGAGAATTATTAATGGATTCTAAATCTAGGAAAAATTTTGACAAGCAGTATAAATGTTCCCTCAAAGATTGTAAGGGAAAAATAGTAATTACATAGTGGAGAAGACAGAGGCTGCCTTGGTCAAGTGCTGTAAATCAGTACAGTATTGTCAGTGGGGGCAGAGGGACAGCACATGCTTCCAGAAGTGACACTCTCAGAGGATACATCATCACCTATGAGCATGCACTGCCTGAACTGAATCACAAGGAAACATCTGGTGGATACAAAATGAAGAATGTTCCACTAAAAGTTACCTGTATTCTTCAAAAGTATCATTTTCATAAAAGACAGAGAAAGCTATAGAAATGGTCCAGATTAAAGAAGGCTAAAGAAAATTGACTAAATTCAATACATGGCCTGGAGTAAATCTGCACTGGAGGGAAAAACTGGTAAAAAATAATTGCATTGACTGATCAAATTGGAATATGGTTGACTAAAGTAATGACAACTGTAAACGCTGAAGGTGACAGCTGCACTGTAGTTACTTCAGTGAGTATCCCTGTCCTTATGAAATATATACTGAAGGGACAAGGGACCATGACATATGGTTTAGGTAAAAGTATGTATGTATGAGAGAAAAGAATTGGAGAGGGGTAAGAATGGAGATAGGGGGACTACAGCAGAAGTTCAGAAGGGAATGTAGGACCTAAACTAAGGGCTTAGCAGTGGGAATGGAGTTGGAGTGGGGGCTTGAGAACCATGTAAGCCATTAAGGCAGCTGGTCTTATGGACTCTTTCAGAGAGAGAGAGAAAGTGTGTCCCTTTCCACACTTACTGTCTGGCCATGGCATTCTGTTGAAAGGAAGAGGCCTCCCTTTCTCCCCTGTTTGTATCTGCATGGACTTATGAAATCCTATTTTCAATGGTTTATAATTCATTACTGTATTTAGTTGTTTTTACCTGAGAAAATGAAAGGGAGTTTATTCTGATAGGATCTGAAATGAAAGGTTAACTATACTGATGAATGAGTTAAGGGTGTCTCCTCATGATTCTTATTCTTGAAGTTTTTCTGTATATTTGAAAATATTTGCAAGTAAAAGTTTTTAAAAATGTCCAGAAGTAGATTTAAGTTCTACTTTTCCGCCAGGCACCGCTTCTGCCTCTTGCCTCATGTTCGCAGTGTGTCTTGAAAAGGTGATCTTCACACACCTGTCTTACCTCACGCTTCACCTACTCAGTCTGACTTCCTCCACCCAAACCACGCTCTGTTAGCTTCTTCCAGGCGCCAACTCCCCAGCCTGCTGTTCCCTGGATGTTCCCGGCCCCACTCCATTCAAGAACCTTTCCTCTCCTGACTCTGTATACTCTTCTGGAGCAGCTCCTTCTATAGGAGCCTACAGGTAGGCCCCTATCACTCCTGCGTCTCAGCGAGTCTCAGAGAGCCTCCTCTCGAGACCAGGCCCCTCTCTTCAGTTACAGACCCTCATAAACATCCTTGTCCTCCCTCTATTTGCCTAAATCAAAAGTGGACTTTTCTCTTTCTCTCTGAAAGAGTCCCTAAGACCCTTAATGGCTTACATGGTTCTCAAGCCCCCACTCCAACTCCATTCCCACTGCTAAGCCCTTAGTTTAGGTCCTACATTCCCTTCTGAACTTCTGCTGTAGTCCCCCTATCTCCATTCTTACCCCTCTCCAATTCTTCCTCCAACAGCTGTCAAGGTTTCGAGAAATGCACACCTGGTCATTCCCCATCGCCAAACCTTTCCAGGCTACTTAATGTGGCACTTGAAGCCTTTTGCATATGGCCAGCCACCTGGAGTGACTTGCGAGGCACCCAATGGGCCATGCTAAACAATTCCTCTTACCACTGCACACTGGTCCTCGGCCTTGATGGACCCTTCCCTTGACTCTCTCTGACAGGTTAATTCTTAGTCCCCTTCATGTCCTCTGGGATCCCCCTCATCTGATTGGCTACTAGCTGGCCTGCTGTGCTGATCACAAATGCCTCACTGTTTACCTCTTGCCTAGGCAGAACCCAGCAGTCTCCTTGTTTCAGCCCTACCTAACCTCCTCTGTTTGGGTGGGGCACAGTGTTCCATCACCCAGTGCAGGGCACCCAATTCTCTTAATGGCTGAAATCGAAACAGATCAATATAAAGGTCCATCTTCATTGAAAAAAGATGGTCAGCAAGGAGATTCACAGTGTTTAATACTGAGACTAAGAAAGGCCACAACCCAGGCAGGACAGCACCAAGATGTGTGAAACCAGCATGAGTATATGCTGCCCCTGCGCCTTGAACGTCTGTGCCACCCCAAATCCCTGTTGAAACCCTGGCCCCCAAAGATGAAGGCAGTAAGAGGGAAGCCTTGGGAGGTAGGTACACAGGACATGTGGGGGGAGCCCTCGTGAATGGGATCAGTGCTCTTAGAAGAGACCTCATAGAGATCCCTTGGTGCCCTGATCTCGAGAAATAAATTTCTGTTGTTTATACGCCACTAAATCTGTGGTATTTTATTATAGTGGCTTGAATGGACTAAGCTGCTAAAATGCAAAGGCCATGAAGAGAATGTAATAAAATAGTATTACTCTTATAAACAACAGTGAAGATGCATTCTGGTATGTTATCTCTGAGGCTGAGTGCTGCCCAGGGAACTTCGATTATGATCCACATCCTGCACTGGGCTAGTCCTGGGAATGCAGAAATGGGTAGCACAAGGTCCTGCCATCAAGCAGATCACACACGAGGTGAGCCTGGTAGGAAAATAATTAACACACGGTAAAAATGGCAGAGGCATACACAGGGCACAGATCACATAGGAAGGAGGAGGCAGAAGGGGTGGAACTGTTGTGAAGGACTAGGGCAAGCCTCAGGAAAGGAGTAGTTTCAGCAGAGGGAAGAACTACAGTAAAGGGAGAAGTGTTCACCACCCTCGGACATCTGGGGCACAGGGCACAGGCACATCCAGACAGGTGGGCACAAACAAGGGCTATCCATCGTACTAAGCAGTCCTGACTGGATCCTCAGGAGTTTTAGGCAGAGTAACAAGCTCAGATGTGCATTTTGCATGATCACTTACTTCATTAAATCAGGAGTTGGTAAACTTTTCCATAAAGGACCAGATAGAAAATACTGTAGATTCTGTGGGCCGCATTCCATTCTGTCATTCATTCATCCATTCACTTTTTGTTTAATCCTCACCAGAGGATTTTTTTTTAATTGATTTTAGAGAGGGATCAAGGAAGAAGGAAAAGAGAAACATCAATGTGAGAAATATTGATTAGTTGCCTCTTGTATGTGCTCTGACCAGGAATTGAACCCTTGGCCTTTTGGTCTACAGGAGGATACTCCAACCGAGCCACCTGGCCAGGGCTGTCACTTATTTTTTTATTTTATTTTAAAAAATATTTATTTTAAAGCCTTTTTAATTTATTATTTTTTAGAGAGGGGAAGGAGAAAGAGAGGGAGAGAAACATCAATGTATGGTTGTCTCTCACATGTTCCCTACCTGGGACCTGGCCCACAACCCTGGCATGTGCCCTGACTGGGAATTGAACTGGTGACCCTTTGATTTGCAGGCCGGCAGTCAACCACTGAGCCATACCAGCCAGGGCTGTCACTTATTTTTTTAATCTGCTTTTTAATATCTCTTAAAAAATGTAAAAACCATTCTTAGCTTACAGGCCACACAAAAACCACAGGCTCAGCAGTTTGTCAAGCTGTTAGATAATATCAAGGAATCAGAGTTAATTTAGGAGAGTGTGACAATGGCATTTTAACTGTTAGTGTCCTTTCTTTCCTTTCAAATAAAAAGAGAAAGGTAAAACAGATGTAGCAATGCTGACAACTGTTAAATCTAAGCTATGGGTGTATGCAGTTCATGGTACTATTCTATTTTCCTGTATGTTTAAACTTTCTCACAATAAAAAAAAAAAAGAGGTCACTCACAACAGCTGTGGCGTGCAGGGACAGGGAACTGAACCCTGGAGTCTGGGGGACTACAATCCAGTCAAGACGGCTGACAGAGTGGGCTAGGCCATGCGTCCACTACAGCACAAGAAAGAGTCACCCCACCAAAGACTTGCGTGGGAAGACTCGTTAACAGAATCAAGTGGGCTACTGGAAGGGTAAACTTCATAAACACAAGTAGAAACTACTTGGTTTTGTTTTTTAAACACTACATGAGTTATAATAATGACTTGGTATATTTAGCAATCTAACAACTGGCTTAACTGATGTAAACCAAAATTTATTTTGACTCTTTACTCACTTTTTAAAAACCCTTTCTCAGATAAGCCCTAGTATGTCACTGAAAGGGCTGTAATGAGGTAACAGAAATTGGGAAGAACCCAAACGTCCCTGCCTAGATCCAAGGCAGAGATATCAAACTCATTTACACCGGGGGCCACATCAGCCTTCAAAGGGCTTCAAAGGGCTTCATGTAACTTTAGGACTGTATAAATGTAACTACTCCTTAACAGGCAAGAGGTCCGTGCTGCCACTGGGTAGAAACAAGGTGCAGGGCCGGATTCCACCTGCGGGCCTTGTGTTTGCCACCTGTGCTCTAAAAAATTATGGAACACCTGAAACCTCTAAATGATGGCTAATCCAATACCATGGCGCAGTAAAAAACCAAAAAGGCTCTTTGTGTTCCGATCTCTAAGACAGACTAGGTGAAAGCTGCAAGGGGCAGAACACTGAAGAGTGACCACCACCTGTGGGGGAAAAGGGGCACTGACTACATTCACACCTGCCGGCATTTGCATAAAGAAACCCAGGAAGGAGACACTCAAACTGAATGGGATTACCTAACAGGTCGGGCCTAGGAAGATGGTGCGCAGGAGGAAACCTTTTCGCTGAAAACTTCTTCATATTTTAAACAGCTGAACCATATGACTATATTACAGATTTAAACATTAAAAACAACAAAAATAACCCTTTTGCTTTCAAAAAGAAAACACTCCTAGTGGCTTAGTCCAAATGTCTTCAAGCCTCACATGCAGCCCCGGCCGCCGTCATCTCTCACATCCCAGCGCCTGGCTTCCCCTAGGCTGTCGCCGCGTCTGGAGACTCTTCGGCCTTCTCCCCAGTTTACTCCCAGTCTGCGGGGCCCATGGCAGGCCACCTCCTTCGGACGCGCCCCCGTCTGCGCACAGGCGAGCTGCCCCAGGCGAAGGCCCGGGAAGCACCGCCCCGGGGCTCGATCCGCACCTGGGCCAGTGGTCTCCACATCGTCCCTCCTCCAAAGTGGGAAAAAAAGAGGGTTGGGGGAAGGGAGGACGAATCCGGTCACCCCTAGGGGTCCCTCTCACGCTCGTATTCACTCTGGAGGCCAGGACCAAACTTAACTGCAACGCGGGCACGACAGGGCGGGAGGGCGGCATGTTAAAGCGCTAATTTTCACGACTCCCGCCCGTCCGAGACAGCCTGGAAGAGTTGAGAAACACGAAGGCGGGGCGTTTCTCCGCGCTTGGGGCAGCTCCAAACCGACCCCGGCCGCCCGAACGGCGGGACTTGGCGCCGGCGAGCAGTCCAATGTGTACCGGCGGTGGCCCCGCACCCCTTGGCCAGCCCGTGATCCCGCCTCCCCCGTCCTCGCCCGAGGCGTAAGAGCAGGGGGCGCGCTTCCTCCCAGATCCCGCCCGCGACCCAGGGGGCAGCCGGGACCGGCCCGCGAAGGGGAAGGCGTGTCAGCAGCGGGCCGGGGGCGGGGGCGCGGGCGGCCGCGTACTCACGTACTGGCTGAGGCGGCGCCGCAGGAGGCCAACTGCCAGCGGGACAAAAGCGCAGCCGTCCCGGCCGGAAGAGCCCGCGCCAGCTGCGGGGCACTTCCGGGTTCTCTCTAGGAGTCCGGAGGACTGACTCGGTGGTGCTTCCCTCGATTCCGGCAGTGGGCCGAGGGGCGCTGGGGCGGTAGGTGCTGCTGTAGCTGCGTATTAAGTCCCGGCTGGGGTGGGTTCGTGAGTGCGGTGGAGGAACTGCAGGCGAGCCTCCTCTTTTTCGTAGACTTGACGTTCCGCGATGGGGGCAACAGGAAAGCAAATAAGTGCCTAGGTAGAATAAACACCTAACGACCTGTGCACCTAAATACAGAACTCGCTACCGCGTGAGGGCGCGTGGACACCGCCCCTTCCCCTCGTAGCTAGGGGGAGGAGGCGGAGCTGAGCGCGGAGCTGAACTGGGGGCCCTTCAGCCTTCCACCGCTGGGCGGCGGGGTGGGCGGTTCGGTCGCCGACTGGGACCAGAACCCCCTGACCCTTCGGGGCACCTTCCGTGCAGTGATCCCCGGTGTTGGCTCCCGAACTCTCGGCCTAAAATGACTTCAAAAAAGCTAACCTTTCTTTTATACTTAACATCTAAGTATCTTTTGGCATATTGTTAATACTGACATTTAAAAAACAAAACTGCTTATCATTCTTTCGAACGCATCTGTCATCCACTTTTTCAAAATTCAGGTAAATTGACATATAACATTGTTTCAGGTGTAAAGCATGGTTCAGTATTTGTTAGATACAAATATATGTTGTGAAATGATCACCACAGTAAGTCTAGTTAACATCCATCACTACACATTCACACGTACTCTTGTGATGAGAACTTTTAAGATTTATTCTCTTAGCAACTTTCATATACCCAACACAGTATAACAACTATAGTTGGCATGCTGCACATTCCATCCAGGACTCCTGGGGACCACGAACTACCAATCTGTCCTCTGCATCTAAGTTTTCTTTGATCTAAGACTCCTTCCTTCCTCTCACCCTACCCTATCTTTTATGATACCACCTATAAGTGAGAGCATAGGGTATTTATGTTTCTCTGATTTATTTCACTTAGCATGATACCTTCAAGGTCCATCCATGTTTCCACAAATGGCAGAATTTCATTTATATATATGCATATATCTATATGAATAGATATATATCTATATGAATAGATATATGCATATATGATATTTGCAAATATATGCAAATATCATATGTGTATATATCATATATATGATATTTTCTTTGTCGATTCATCCATGATAGATACTTAAGTTGTTTTCCTGTCTTGGCAATCCATATATAATGCTCACCACTCACTTTTAACAGTCATAAATTTTACATCTTTCTGTGTTTTTTTCCTTAAACCTGTAGTTTTCATGTTGTGTCCCTCACAAGATTTTTATCCTAATATTTTATTTTACATGTATCACTGAGTTTTATCTTAGTGTAAAATAGTTTGTACTTTAAGTTTTATTGTTCACCCTAGCATACATCTCTGTAAAGAAATTACGTTTTCTCACTCTCAGATGTTAATTATTTTCTAGATCATTAGCAAAATTATATAAACATATTTCAAAATTTACTGTCAGTGGTTACACAAAATATGAAATGTTTTGGAAGCACAACTTCTTTTTTTTAAAAGATTTTATGTGAGAAGGGGAGGGAAGGTGAAAGAGAGGGAAAGAAAGAGGGATGGGTTGCCTCTCTCACCCCCACTGGGGACCCAGCCTGGCAATCCAGGCATGTGCCCTGACTGGGAATCAAACCGGCGGCCGGTTTGCTGGACGATGCCCAACCCACGGAGCCATTGCTGTCAGGGTGGAAGCATGATGGATTTTTTAATAGTTCAAGTGATGCAATTACTTGGATGAATTTTACTTTTCGCTGGAGTGAGCCAGTCAGTGTTCACTCTCAATTCCATGCAGATTTTCCATTTTTAATAGATGCAGGTGCTGGGTAAATGGAAGGAATAGAAGTCTTTCCTTGTAGCAATGGCTCCTTGAGCACATTTGGCTCCATACCAGAACTCCCTGCACCTCCAGAAAGTCTGGGCCAGTAGCTACTGAGTACTTGAAAATTAGCTAGTGTGGCTAAGCACCTGAATTTTTAATGATGTTTAACTTAAAATAGCCCTATGTGGCAATGACTGCCTTCCTGGGCAGCACAGCCCAGGCTGCTCCCACTGGTCCCCACAGCCTCCGGAAAAAGTCACACTCCAGGATGACCATTGCTGTGTAAGTTCAGTGGACCACCCCTGGAGCGAGAGTCTGGGCTTTCCCCTCTCCACAGCAAGATGGACAAATATTTGTGTCCAAGTCAGGAGGCTTTGCTCTTCCATAAAAGGTAGTGTGTGAATAGGGAAGGAATCATTGGGAAGCCCAAGTACAATAAATAATATAAATTCATGTGATTTTTATTTTAGACGATATTTTTTCCTCCATGATCCTCGCTATACTGCAGGCACTTTTTGTTTGCTTGTGGATCTACACTCACACACACGTGTGCTCACATGCACACCTTTTCTGCCTGTCTGTTCTGAAAATCTACACATCAGAACTGTCCAGACTTGTGCTGTCTGGGAGTGCAACCCCTGGTCACACTTGGCTACTGTGCACATGAAGAGGCATCTGAACTGAGATGTGCTGTAAATGTAAAAGCCATGTTGGATTTCTAAAACTTAGTGGGGACAGAGTATAAAATATTAAAAATTATGTTGTTTTTTATGTTGATTATGTTAATAGTAGTTTGGCTGTTTGGAGTTAGTAAAATACATTGTTGGGATGAATTTCACCTGTTTCTTTTCACTTTCTATGTAGTTCTAGGAAATCAGAACTCACATCCATGGCGGGAATCACACTCCTCAGCTCTGCTCCAGGCAGCCAGTAGGTGCGCTGGATGTCCTTTGTGTGCTCTTGCCTTGGGGCTCGCCTGCCCCTTCCAGGTGGTTCACCTGCAGGTTGATGAGCTATGCCCAAAGGGGCTTCATTACAGCTCTACTCTCAGTTGTTGAATTTAGCCACAAATTTTAAAAATAAATGCCCCCCTTCCACTATAGCATAATATCAGCTCATTATGTAAACTTTGGAAAAGAAAGAAAAACATAAAAAACTAATCACTTGTATCCTGTTACCATCTTAGCAAACTTCCTTCCTTTTCTACTGCCCATTTGGAGACTTTTTCAAATGGTTGTAATTGTACTATACCTGCAATTTTTATAGAGTTTTTTTTACAAATAATATACATGATCATTTTTATTTTATTATAATTTTTGATTTGCCACTGAATTACAATCTTCTTAACTCTTCTGTTTTTAATCATTGAAGTTCTGTCCAATTATTATTTCTTCTCCTCCTCCCCCTCCTCCCCTTCCCCCCTCCCCCTCCCCCTCCCCTCCTCCTCCTCCAGAATCAACCTTGGCTGGGGTGGCTCAGTGGATTGAGTGCCAGACTGTGAACCAAAGGCTCACCGGTTTGATTCCCAGTCAGGGCACATGCCTGGGTTGTGGGTCAGGTCCCCAGTTGGGGGCATCTGAAAGGTAACCACACATTCATGTTTCTCTCCCTCTCTTTCTCTCTCCCTTCCCCCATGTCTAATAAATAAAATCTTTATTAAAAAAAAGTGCTGCCCTGACCAGTGTGGCTTAGTTGGTTAGGGGTCGTCCCACAAAGTAAAAGGCTGCCAGTTGGATTCCCAGTCAGGGCACATGCCTGCCAGGGTAGCAGGTTCAGTCCCTGGTCAGGGCATGCATGAGAGGCAACCGATTGATGTTTCTCTCTCACATTGATGTTTCTTTCCTTCTCTTTCTTCCTTCCATCCCCTCTTTTTAAAAATAGATGAAATCTTTAAAAAAGAATCAATGCTGTGCCCTGGCCAGGTGGCTCAGTTGGTTGTAGTGTCTGCATGAGCACCAAAAGATTGCAGTTCTGATTCCTAGGCGGGCACACATGTAGGTGCAGGGTTGACCTCCCATCGGGGTGCATGTGGGAGGCAACTGGTGGGGTTTGTCTCTCACATTGATGTATCTCTCTCCCCTTCACTCTCTCTAAAATCAATGAACATATCCTCAAGTGAGGATTAAAAAAATAAGTGCTATAATAAATAATAGGGTACAAAAGCTTTTTAAAATTTTTTTCCTTGGAATAGTTGACAAGAAGGGTCAAGAAACACTGGAAGTGATCGGAGCAGAGATCTAGACATCACCCATTATTAACATCATTTTCTGTCTCAGCCGGGTAAGGAAAAAGGAAGCAGAATACAAATACTGGGAAGCAGGGCCATCATTATCCTATCTGCAAATAACAGATTTTATTTCTGGAAATAGACTAAACAATAAGAGAATTCTGTATGGGGTGTGGTTTCAAAATTACCAATCAGAAATCAATAGTTTTATGTGTACACTACAATTAGAATACTAGAAAGAAATATTATGTTTACAATAGAAGCAAACGAACAAAAGACCAAATACCCAGGAATTAAGAAGACATGGGGAAGACCTCTATGAGGAAAAGTCACAGTTCTCCTGAGGTCACAGAAGACAAACTAAATTCATGGAAAGATTCTTGGATGCATTGCTCACCTGAATGAAAAGACTTGGCATCGGAACAATGTCATTTCTCTCTATAGCTGTAATGAGCCTGACGAAGGCCACCTAGAACACAATGACATTGCAGTTGGTCCGGAAGGCCTCTGGGAGAAGCTAGAGTGTATGGAAGTCTCCTCTACAGGAAGAAATCTTGGCTTATCACAAAGCTCCGTGGTTCTAACTAGCTTCCCATTCCCTTAATTTCCTCTTTCCTTGGATAAACAAACACCTCTCCATTTTGGCATGTCAGGCAACGTGTGCCGTGTGCTCGGGGCTTGCCCAGCCTGAACGCACTGGGCTGCAACTCCTTTTTCCTGAACAAATCCTTCATGCTTACAAAACATACCTAGCTGATACTAATTTTCAGATGACAAGCCTGGTGAAAATTAGCGACAGAATCTTTAGCAACACACAATCGACTGTGAAGTTCACATGGAAAAGTGGACACGTTCTTGTTTGTTTGTCTCTAGCTAGCAAACACCTGAAAAAAAATGCAGGATGAGGGACACTATTACAGCATATTTATAATTAAGCTGGTGTAGTTCTGAGACAGAAAGTCTAAAAATGGGCCTGTCTAGTCATGGACATTTAGTGTCTGATGAGGTGGCATTTCAGGGCAGTGAGGAAAATGGTGTGGGGATAACTGGGGAGCATCAGGGACATGTGAGCTTGCAGGCCAAGGTCTGCACTTCCGCCAGGATGGATGGAGTCCCTCTGTGTCGCAGACTTGCTTGTGGATCGTGGCACA